GCCTGAAATTACCCTGAGGTCTAAAATATCCTTGATTATCCTGTTACTATGGCATCTGAAACTGCTAACCCCTATGCCTTTGATCGTAGGGTTGATATATGTTTCCATCACACTATTGGAAATGACTCCCTCTGGAAGTCTCTTCGACCCTAGCCTTCTCTCCCTTAAACTGTTTCTTATTTTCCTCATACTTCAGTGCCAAGTCAAGAACTCTGTCAAACGATTTAGCATCAAATGGAATAAGGGATAATTTAATCCCTTAATAAACTTCTCATTCTTCTTCTCCTGCGTGTCAACCAAGTGAGGGGCATAATGAGACAACTCATTAAACTTAGTGACATACTCAATCACTGTTCTACCCTCTTGGGTCAACTTCGAAAATTCATCACTCAGCTGAAACTGAATAGCAGCGGGAACAAACTTTCAATCAAGACAGGACTTGAAATCTGTCCAAGTCAAAGTCGTCAAATCTAGACTCTCCTTACACGAGTTCCACCAAAATAGGGTTGTTCCCTCAACCTGATGTGTAGCCAACTCCTGTTTTTGGACCTCAGTGAACTACATACGATCAAACACCATCTCACATTTCTGGACCCAAGCGTCAGCTACAGTGGGTCCTCTATCTCTAGAGAATTTCTGACCTCCCAAAGACCCAAAGTCTTTGTTTCTCTTTCCAAAGGGATCTCCTTGCTGGCCTTGATTATTGTTCTACATAACCTGAAATAACTAAGCCATCTTCTCTCCCACATTAACCTGCACAGTTTTGGTTGCCCCGGTAACAGCCGCCGCCGCATTAGTAGTTGTTTCTTCCCCTATGCCACTTGGCTCAGCATTTCTCAAATTATACCATCTAGCCATCACCTTCAAGTTAAACACACAAAAAGAATTTGTTCATAAATACTTAGAATAAATTCAACCACCAAACTAAACTAGCTAACCCATGTTTCTACAACCGATGACCACCTAAACTCTCACAAGTCTAGGGTAACCTAGAGCTCTGATACCAAACTGTCACACCCTAAAATTTGAACAATTAAATATTAAATTAGAACTAAATCCCAATCAATATTCCATCATCCAAATCCAAATGGTAAAACAAAATCTAAATGTTTTTGCCTCAATTTGGTTAAGTAAATTTCAATGCTCAAAAAAAAAAAAAAAAAATTACAGGGGGAAAAAAAATTAACAAAATGCCAACCAAGCCCTCCATCATAAATTCATAATTATCCAATATCTCTAACATTAAAGTAGCACAAAATAGTTAAAACAACATAAATAATGTAAAATTAGAAAATGACCCACAATGCTAAACTATCAAAATACTAAGGTCATAAAAAAAATATAAATAAATAAACTAATATTAACCCTAAACTCAAGAAAATAAAAGAAGTCCGAGAGACATGTCTTACAACCATAGTTATTTCTCGTCACCACCGTAGTCCCAACTAATTCTGCAAAGGAAGCTCGGCTATGTTCAAACATAACGCACCCGAGATGCCAAAAGACAAAACGGATTAGTATACAAGTATACTGGTATGAGTACAAGATTTCACAACCACATATCCACCAGACATAAATAAAAGTACATTTAATTCTTGTTATGGGACAAGACAAGTAGTTCCATCTGTACCGTGACGAAAGGTTAGTTGCTTGAGATACGGTGACATTTAGTTTCTCACTTGTACACAACTAAATATAAAATTGAGTATAAAAAAATATGGTGAGTCAGCCCTGCATAAAAAGATAGTAAAACCCACCATTATGCAATAATAAAGTTAGTACAATTTAATCATAACTAAATTGTTTAAGAAGTAAAAAAATGCATCGCTTCATGCTTAAATCATTAGAATTGACCAAACCTCAAAGATCAAAAGTTGTATAGAATCAAATTTCCTAAAAGGTAACACAAAAGAATTTAGTAGAAACTGAACAGGTTAAGAGAAAAACTTCATAGAAGAACCTAAAAGAATTCGACCGAAAACCTAAAGCTGAAAGCGACAAGAAACTATTCTAAGATGATTTGTTTCAGAAAAGTTCAAAATATGAAAAGTGTTCAGAATAATGTTTTACTTCAGTTAACGTGAAATCAATGAAAAGGAGCTCGTTTTGTGGATTAAAACAGTATCTAAAATCTGTATTACTAAAATGAATAAAACTAGATCATCTGATTAAAAGTTCTAATCGATCCTTTTAGTGAAAAGTTGAAATACAAAAGTTGTCTAGAATTACGTATACATGTCTCTGTCCAAATTTCATAATTTATCGAGATTGTTTTTACTATTTTTCGAGATGTACAAATCAAAACAATTCAAACTATACCAATAGGTTCATATTTAATTTTTTGTACCTTAGTTCCACCACTTTGGCCCTTCACTTCCGGCCTACACATATATCTCACGTGCCTTCCGTATACCCAACACCGCTCCAAAGCCAAACTTGCACGGGCATATCGTTTCTAGTTTGACCCATACTCCCAGGACGGTTAGTATATACGTACACGCATAAATTGAAGCACCCGTCTACTCTTGAGAACGAAGCAACAATATATATACACAACCCCTCATCTACTCATGGGAACAAACATAAAAATGCCGAGCCTAAGGCATTCAAATAAATATCATAATTCTCATTTTTTATTTTGTACACTTTTTCTGACCAGCACTCAAATAAAACAACAATTTATGGAGTCATGGTAGAGTATTTGGAATTTATCTATGGGTTCCTAGTTTGTTTTAATTTCATATATCCATGAGTGTGATTAAATCCATAAAATAAATATGTATAAAAATCATAAACCTTACATACACAACTAACCAAAATAGTTAAAATTAATCTATCATCTTCATGCAAATACAATATCAAACCAATATCAAATAACTAAAAATAAATAAATAATAATAACAAAATAAACATAAATAAAGGAAAGTGAGTTTTGCACTCACAATTATTTTTTAAAGATCAAAGAAATACTTAAAAAAATTAATAAAGCCACCAAAATAAAACCGAATTCTGAAGATCAAGAAAATACTTGGAGAATTAATGAAACCACAAAATAAAACCCTAACCCTTTTCTATCTACTATCTCTTCTTTTCTCAATCTCTCTCTCGACTTTCTTTTCTTTGCCTCTTAAGATTATAACCTAATCACTATTATATTATATTTTATTATATAAATAAAATATATATAAATATGCTATATAAGATCAATATATATACCAATTTATATATAATATATATATATATATATATTCAGATTAATTAAATATAATTAAATTAATCAATAACACATTAAATTCCCATGTATCTATGCAATTAATAAAGTCAAAAATAAAATAACAATAATAATAATAAATAATGACTTAAGAAAAAATTACTGCATTAGTTCTCCTTCAAGCCTTTTCAATTTTTTTAATGAGATTTTATCATGTAATTACAGTAGTTAAAAACCTTTTATTCCTTAAATTTATACCTAGTATATATTTTTTTAATATTTGATTTTCATTTATGAAATATATGAGGTTATAACTATTCATATGTGGTCAATGTTGTGATTACTATTTGTATGTGGTCAATGTTGTAATTCGTATTATCCATTTTCAAACGTGTTAGTTTTATCAGATTTTCATCACGGTTTATATGCAGTAATAGATAGTCATTGTTTTGTGGCATAAAATTTTTTTTATCACACGTATTATGTGTGACCAAAAATGTATATAACTATGATTTTATCGCATTATTAATCACAGATTATTTAAATTCATTCTCAGGTTTTATTGTTATTAATCATTATTAAAATCCGTGATGTAAATGCTTATTATCACATTTAAAACATGTGATGAAATTATCTTTTAATAACAATTAAAAAGTGTGATTGAAAATGATCCTTGACAACCACACTCTAAAAAATTATGCTTTGACAAAATAAAAATTTAATAATTAAATAATATACATCCACTTAAAATTCATGATCAAATTATGAATTTATAGTAATATGGTGGGAGTGAAACTCGTTTGTATCCATGTACATAGCTGGGAGTATGACTGAAAAAATAACGGAGGGAGTGAAACTCGTTTGTATCCATGCACATAGCTGGGAGTATGACTGAAAGAATAAAAGTGATCCAAGACAGAATAGGGAATACATATTATTTGTGTTAAAATAGTTAATAAAGACAAAATAAATTAAAATAGTTAATAAATAAAATATCATATCTAATTTATAATTATTTTATTTTTTCTTTCATAATAATTAAATTAACTAAAAAAAAATTATCTTTCCAAGCATAACTCATCCAAACACAATTTTTTAATCAAATCAAAATAGTAAAACTTTTAAAATGATGCCATAAAACGGTAAATTTTATTTTTTTTACCAATCACAATATTTATACAGCATCACCTGTCGATATCATAGATGCAGTGAATAACTTCTCAATGAGAGAGAAGCATATCATAGAATTAGGATTCCCCACCTCCTGTTCCGGTTCCTACCTTCACGTGATTCTGACTGTGCTCTGCAGTCCTCTACCAGACAGCTGCTTTTGTCACGTAGTGCTCCCTCTCCTTATTTACTTACTCATCGCTCCCTGTTCCCGGTAACCAAATAAAATTACTAGCGAATGAAATTGATGGGTCATGTGGCTGAAAAATTATTGGCTAGTTTAGGCGTTATTTTTTTAATCATTAAACATAACTTCGTTTGAAATGTGGATTGACTTTTTGATATTTTAACTTTTTAATTATTTTAGTCTAGAGCTAAAAAGTCTGATTTGAGAAGAACTTTTTGACTTGTTGATTTTTTGACTTTTTAACTTTTTTTATAGAAGATGAGTGTAATAATTATGAGTTGAATTTGATATTTTATTTTTTATGATTAAAATAACCTATTACATTTTTTATGACTATTTTAACCCCTAATTCACCGAAACTAACTTCCCAAACTATGCGATAGATTAGTATAAATTCTATTTTTTATCAATCATAATACTAACCGATTCTCCATGTAGCAGAAGTATTCTGTTGTTGACTAGACAGACACTATAGACAGCAGAACACATGAATGAACAAAGAGGAGAGAAAAATAAAGAAAGAAAAAGGGCAGATGGGCCTTCTCCTCCTCTTTTTCTTGTTCCTCAACAAAAAGTAAAACCCAATTATAATTCTTCAGCTGTCTAATATTTTGGGAGAGACAGACTCACATTTTGATAATTTCTCTTCCCTTTCCTTTTCACCAAGATGAGCATAATAAGGTTATTATTGTTGCTCCACAATGCTCTTCTTTTGGTATCTTTGAATCTGATATACAACTACTCATCAGTCACCGCCGTTTCTCATCCTCCTCCCGCAGCTGATTCGCCTGCCGAGAACTTACCACCAGCACCTCATGACGCCTTAGCTCTTTTAGCATTCAAATCAAAAGCCGATTTGCAGGGCAAGCTTGCATTCTCATCTAACACCAGCTTGGATTATTGCAAATGGCAAGGACTGCAATGTGTTCAAGGCAAGGCAGTCCGAGTGGTCCTCCAAGGGCTGAGTCTCGAGGGTGTTTTTGGTGAGGGCACATTGAGTCGTCTCGACCAGCTCAGAGTCCTGAGTCTGCAAAACAACTCCCTCACCGGACCCATTCCGGATCTCTCTGGTCTTTTCAACCTCAAATCCCTATTTCTCGACCATAACTCTTTCAATGCGTCTATCCCACCTTCAATCTCCACCCTCCATCGTCTCCGAACTCTAGATCTCTCTTACAACAATCTCACCGGACCAATACCTGTGTCTTTAACGAATCTCGACCGGTTGTACTATTTTCGGCTCGATTCAAACCGGCTCAACGGTTCGATTCCTCCTCTCAATCAGTCGTCTCTCCAAGTCTTCAATGTTTCCAGAAACAATTTAACAGGTGCTGTACCAGTGACTCCGACTTTACTCCACTTCGGCACATCGTCGTTTTCGTGGAACCCTGGACTCTGCGGCCAGGTCGTAAACAAAGAATGTAACTCACAGGTACCCTTTTTCGGCCCAGTGTCAGTGCCAGCTGCACCGCCGGTGGCGGCGCTTGGGCAGAACGCACAAACAGAACAAGGCGGCGTTGAGTGGGATCAGCCGAGTGGTGCGAAGAAGCACAAAAGAACCACTGTCATTGTTGGGTTCTCATTAGCGGTTTTGATACTGATTGGTTCAATCTTGTGTTTTGCAATTGCCATAAATAAGCAGAAGCAGAAGAAGAAGAAGCAGCAGCCAAAGGTCCCGCCAACGATAGCTTCGGACTCCGCCGCGGCCTCACACGCGGCAGTTGTAATGAGAATGGAGGAAGAGAATGAGTTGGAGGAGAAGGTGAAGAAGGTGCAAGTGATGCAAGTTGCAAAGAGTGGGAGTTTGGTATTCTGTGCTGGGGAGGCACAGCTTTATACGCTGGACCAACTAATGAGAGCTTCGGCGGAGCTGTTGGGGAAGGGGACGATTGGGACTACTTACAAGGCGGTGCTGGATAACCGTCTGATTGTAAGCGTCAAGCGACTCGATGCAGGTAAATTGGCTGGAACAAGTAAAGATGAGTTCGAGCGACATATGGAATCAGTTGGGGGACTTCGACACCCAAATCTGGTTCCACTCAGGGCTTACTTTCAGGCCAAAGAAGAGAGGCTCCTTGTCTATGATTACCAGCCCAACGGCAGTCTCTTCTCTCTCATCCACGGTAAGCTCACTCAACTCTGCTAATTAATTCCTTTTAACACCATCTCCATTAAGCAGTGTTATTTTTGTTTTTTAGGTAAATAATAAGTACAATCATTAAATTTTAATTTCATTAAATTAACTATTGGTCGATTTGGATCAAACGTTACTATTATATAAAGAAGGGCTTGGCTTCTGTCCAGTCCTTAATCGGACTGGACCGTGCTGTTGGGTTCGTAGAGACCCACTACGGGTTTCATTTTGATAATCTAAACCGGATTCATTCCTTAATCGGACTGGACCGTGTTGTTGGGTCCGTAGAGACCCACTACGGGTTTCATTTTGATAATCTAAACCGGATTCATTCCTTAATCGGACTGGACCGTGCTGTTGGGTCCGTAGAGACCCACTATTATATAAAGAAGTGCTTGGCTTCTGTTCAGTCCTTAATCGAACTGGATCGTGTTGTTGGGTTCGTGGAAATTCATTACGGGTCTCATTTTGATAATCTAAACCGTTATGTGTAAAAATCGTCGAGTGCTATAAGTCTGTAAAAAATCACATTAATCGGATATCGGTAGCCATGTGATCAAATCAGTTTTGTAAAAAAAAAATGGACGGTGAATAAATTAACGGTTGACAAAAATTTGTTTTGATCATATAGCTACCGATATCCGATTAACGTAATTTTTTACAGGCTTATAGTACTCGACGAGTTCTACACATTGAACGGTTCAGATTATCAAAACAGGACCCGTGGTGGGCCTCTACGGGCCCAACAGCACGGTCCAGTCCGAGTAAGGACTGGACAGAAGCCAACGCCTTAAAGAATAATGTTAGAGATCTCAAATATTATATCAAATAAAAAATGATCCGAAACCCTTTTCCTCCACCCCTTGACCCCTCTCTCTTTCATTAGTTAATTTTTTTTCTTTTCTGGCACATGTTGGGTGTGAGACCGTATGATAGGATCTCACACGTATATGAAGTATTTAATAAAACATTTGTCATGGGAACATTTTTCCGATACAAATAAGTGGGTAGGCCGGCGTGCTTTTTTCTTCTTATTATTATATAAATTCAGTAAAAGTAATAGTTTAGTATAAATATATAATTAATGTCTTAAAGAAGGAATAATTAATTTCTTAAAGAAGGAAAAATTAATGAAATATTCTTTTTAACTTTTTGATAGGAGAGGTTCAATAATATTATTATTAGTTAAAGTTTTTCGATAATATTATTAGAGAAATTTCAGTTTGTTATCGCTATAAAATTTCTCTCTGAGGAGTTAAAATTTTTTTGTGACAAAATTTATGTGTGAAAATGTTGAGAAACCTAACTACTATAAAAATATTATTTGTCATTTATCTTATAAACTTTTAATATCATGGACCTTCAACTGAAACCCTTTTAAAAAAATGCTAACCATCATATTAACACAATTTTAATTTAAAATACTTTTGGAAGGCATTTCATAAAAATAAAATACTAATTGTCACATTGTTTTTAATTTGTTCAATGAAAGTTGGAATTAAACTAATGAATTAAAATTTTTAAAAACGTTAATTGTTGAATTATGTATTTTTTTAGTTAAAAGTGTTATTTAAAGACACTACTAATATATGCTAAAAATTGAGTCACGTTAAAAAGTAATATATGATTGTTGGAGTGACATTTTAAAATTTGATATTTTGACACTATAATGTGGTAAAATATAAAATTCACAATATATATGGAGAATTTTATAATATACACCTTTTATTATATATATTTTTGGTTATATTATTATTTTTTTTAATTATGATATTATTTTAAGATGTTTGGTTGTATGCCTCGTGTATTATTTAGTTGTAATTTTTTTATTATTTATGACTCAAAGGATATAAAATTACGTTATTTCTTTTAATTATAAAGTACAAATAGGCATTCTCCATAGGGAGGGAGGGAGGGAGAGAGCGGGAGGTGAAATTAACAAGATTAGAAGAATAATTATTTAGGTGACATCGTCCATAATGCTCCCAACCTATCACTTAGCAGAAAATTTTATATGGGCTCGTTTGGGAAGAGAGATTTGAGGTTTTTTTTTTTTTTTTTGTTAAAATAGTCATAAAAATTAAAATAAATTTTTTAATTTAATAAGATAAAATATCACATTTAATCTATAATTATTATACAATAATGTTAGGTAGCTCAAAATTTTGTGGCTCAAATGGCTCAAATCACTTAAAACAACGTCGTTTTGACAGATTTTGAGTGTAAAACGATGTCATTTTGACAGATTTGAGCCATTTGAACTACAAAATTTTGAGTTACCAAATATTTTTCATTATTATATTCTTTCTTACAAAAAAAATTATAAAAGCCAACTCACTTCTTAGGCCTCGTTTGGGAATATGCTAATTTAGTAACTTTTTGGCTATTTGGCTAAAAAGGTAGGTAAAAAAAACTTGTATGTTTGGGATGACTTTTTGGCTAATTACGAAAAGATGTGCAAAAAGTAGAGAGAAAAGAGAATTTTTGACTTTTTGGTATGAGTTGTTGGCTTTTTGACTAATTTAGTAATTTTTTAGCTAATTGGCTAAAAAAGTAAATCTTCAAACGGGGCCTTAAACCAAACTTTTTAATCCCAAACTAAGGCCTCGTTTGGGATGCTACCTTTTTAGCTAATTTGTCAAAAAGTTACTAAATTAGCCAATTAGCCAATTAGTCATACCAAAGAGTCAACAATTACAATTTCTCTCTACTTTTTGCACAGCTTTTCGTAATTAGTCAAAAAGTCATCCCAAACATACAAGTTTTTTTACCTACCTTTTTAGCCAGTTAGCCAAAAAGTTACTAAATTAGCCTGTTCCCAAACGAGGCCTTTGGCTAATTGGCTAAAAAGGTAGGTAAAAAAAACTTGTATGTTTGGGATGACTTTTTGACTAATTATGAAAAGCTGTTTAAAAAGTAGAGAGAAGCCGTAATTGTTGACTCTTTGATATGACTAATTGGCTAAGTAACTAATTTAATAACTTTTTAACTAATTAGCTAAAAAGGTAACATCCCAAACGAGGCCTAAAATAACTAAAAAATCCAAAAATTTAAAAATTAGCCCACTTTCCAAACAAAACCATGATATATTTTTGACCGACTTTTATTACTTAATTGGGTGATAAATGAAAACCCAATAATATATTTTGTATTTTATTTATTTATTTGTTAAGAGTAGCACATAAATGATGTGACGTAACTGTTTCTTTTTGAGTGATTTTTGTAAGTGATAAGACAGAATCACGTGGGATGAGGGGTCACTGCTGTGATCCCTCACTGCTGTTCCTGTTGTGTTAATAAAGTGACAGCATTTTATGAGTTATTTTCTTTCTTTCTTTCTTTCTTTCTTTTTTGGGGTTTGGATAAAAAAAAAAAAACAAAGACTGAAACCGCACAGCAGGAAACACTGCACAGCAGTGACTCCGCTCCCAATCACGTGATAAAAGGGTAACAAATTTTTGTACAACAATGATACATCCCACTAATTTAGGAGTACTAATAGACCACTAATGAGGTGAAAATTCAAAAAAAAAAAAAAAAAACTTACGGCCAAAACATCACATCAGTCAGTAGGACCCACTCTCTAGAACTCCTCTAGTGCTCCCAATTTATAACTTTTAAATATTTTTCATTTTTGTATGAGTCATATTATTTGGTGTTTAAAAAATATTAAAAATATATACACTTATAATTGATAGAAGAATGTTGATACCTTATTGGTATACAATTTTTTCCCCTTTATTAGATTATTTAATAATTTTCTGGATTCGCATAGGACAATTTGCTAGAGGTACTCTTAGGCCCTGTTTAGTAGAGTTTATTTTCAGTTTATTTCAACTTTTAACTTAATTTAAGTTATTTTGATATATTTAGTTTAGCTTAATAATATAATTTATAGCTTTTTGTAACTTAAAAATCAACTTATTCTTTGAGTGAGTGAGGAAAAACTTAATTTATAAGTCAAAAATCAACTTATGTTCATAATTATAAAATATAAGCTGTTAAATTATAAATTATAATTATTTTTCTACAGCTCTAACAAACAGGACCTTAGGCAGTTGGGTGTTATTTCCCGATGCCCCCAGACCTTCAATAGTGATGAACCATGTGATATTCCTTACAAATGTTCAAATTTAATTATATAGCAGAAAATTTTAAGGGCACTTAATTTTAAAGGGTTGGTTTTTTTAGTGCAATTTAAGGTTTTGGATGTGTTCTCTCTAAATTTCGGATTCAACTTTTACTAGAAGCTATCAACTTCTTCAGTTTGCACTTGCGGACTTTACTTGAGATTTGTCCGATCCACATATATGGAGTGTCTTGTGTGAGTCCTGAAATTAGTCGAGGTATGCATAAATTAATCCGAACATCCACATAAAAAAAATATAAATAAATATTGGGGGCTTTTACTATTGAATTCTATATCCATGACTTTTGAGATTTTTTTGATTTACGTGAAGGATTGCTTTGCGTAATAAATCTTATATTCATGACTTTCAAGATTTATCTGATTCACGTGGAGGGAGTATTTTGCGTAGTCTCGAATGCAAATCTTATATCCATGACTTTCGAGATTTGCCCGATTCACGTAAGGGAGTGCCTTGTGTGAGTCACGAAATTAGTCGAGGTGTATGTAAACTGACCCAGACACTCGGTCATCAAAAATAAAATAAAATAAAATAAAAACATTTACTAATAAATCCTATATCCATGACTTATGGACCGTTTAGTCCTATAAATATTCTTGTGATCCCATCAACCATTTTTTATATTACAATGACACAATTAACATAAAATTTTAAATATGGGGTAATAACCATGTGTCTGTAATATTTCCTGTTTAATTGAATGACAAATTTGAAAAAGGTTTAATAAGGTATTAGTATACATACTATGATGATATGGATAATGATGCATGAAGTTGTAGAGGATGAAAACCAAACACAAAGAACGATCACAAATTTTAATAAAAGAGATACTCTCTTTTAAAATATATTAATGGATTAATTATATTTTACCTCCATGTAGTGGCGGAACTATTTGGGGGGAACGGGAAGCCATGACCTCTCCAAGTTCTTGAAAATTACACTACTATACTTTATGATATTTATAAAATGTATATTAAGATTATCTCCTAATTTTTTTAAAATTGTTTTATTAACCATCTATTTCATTAAATTTTCACAATTTATAATGATGTGATTTTCAACTATTTCTCACGTTGTTTAATAGCATCAATATAATCTAGTCATTTTTATTTGTAGAAGAGGTATATGCCACCAATTTTTTTATTTTTTGTTTTAAAAAATCAAAGAAACATGTATACTTTTTATTTACTAGATATTATCAACCCCCCTCCCAAAAAAAATAAAAAAAAAAAAAATTTATTAATAATTCAAAACTTTAAAAAGGAATTCATAAGAAAAAGAAATTCATCAGATTTATTTTTGTTCTCATAAATAATTTTTTTTCACAACTGTTACATAAGAAATTATCTCTCCTCCTCCTCCTCCTCCTCCTCCTCGCATAAATCTTGGTTCCGCCCTTGGCCATGTTGTTTAACTCAAAAATACATTAACCCCCTATAGCCTAAAAATAGTCACATAATACCCTTATATAGAGTAAAGTACAAACTCTAACTCTGTTAACAAATTTTTCAAAAAGTCTACATTACCTTTGTCTAATTTTCTTTTATATGCCATTACATGCAAGTCTTTCTCATCCCTACCCTCTCACCTTACCTCATGAACACCACCAGCCGCTTCCATGCCTAATGGGGCCACCATCTCTTTCTTTTATCTTGTTCATCTTTTTCCCCCTTTCTAACATTCCAAAGGTAGAGAGATATTACCATTGGGAGGTTTACAAAAGTCCAAGATCTTAGAGTCAGTCAAAATAGGATGTTGTGATGGAAGATGGACTACAACAAGATGATTGATTGCAAAACGGATCAAAATGAACCAGATATATATATGAAGATCAAAACGAACCAAACATCAATTGCTTTGATACCATGTTAAAGTATCTAACTCAAAACCAATTAACATTGAGTAGAATAGTCCTAAAGTATATGGCAAAACTTAGGTGGCTTAGAACATCTATAATGGGATAGCTAAAAAAGTGTGTTATATGACAGATAAAAGTGGGACCAAAAAATGTGTCAAGGTGTGTTAGGAGTTTGTTAATTTTAGAGAGTAAGTGGCGGTGCAATGGATATGTTAAAGTGTGTGTTAAGAATATATATATCTATTTATTTATTTATTTATACTATTATAAAGTGAACACATAATATGGTGTCCTGAAGCTTGCTTTACTCTCCTCATGCCATGTGGCAGTCTTCTTTTTTATTTTTTTAAAAAAAAGTTAAACAAAGAGATGGACAAGGCTTGAACCCATGACCATGGGTTTAAGTATGAAGACTCATACCACTTAAGCTAAGTACACATTATAATACTAATTTCATTATTATTTTCTTTTATTCCTCTTTATTTAATTTGCACACACATCGTGTGTGCCCAACCGCTAGTATATATATATATAAATAGTTAACAGAAGCTTTTGAGGAAGATGGCCAGACGTTCGACCGGTCAACTGTAATTATTTGTTTATTTATTTATTTTTTGTACTTAAAGGGTCCGGATGTCCGGGGGGACGACTGGCCGGATGACCTCACGGCACTTCCCCACGTCCCCTTCCCTCTCTCTCTCTCTCTCTCTCTCTCTCTCTTTCGCGCGTGCACGCTAGCTAAAACGGTGGCTACAGTTAACACACAAGTTAACACACAATACTAACAACTGACATTAACACACAAGTTAGTAGCTCCATTGCAGCACAAAACAATGTTTTGAGCTGACTAAAAATTAACAATTGACACTAACACAACATTTAGCTAGTCCACTGTTGATGCTCTTATGAAAGCGATGTGGGATAAGTCTAACATCACCAACTCCCTCACCCAATAGCCAAAGCCTCCACCACCACCTGCTACTCACCCTCTACCTACTCCCTCACGCAAATACTCTAGCATTTACCTATGATTCCCTCCTTCCTCGCTCAAGTACCAGCCTCCAAACTTTTTACTACAATTTTCTCTCCCCTCTTCCTCACCTGTGCCTAGCCCCCTTCTCCCATCCCAATTTTTGGATGTTGACATTCGTGTTATTTGCAAAATATTCTAAAACTTGTGTAATTTGATAAATGCTGAAATTTAGTTGAGACTTCAAATTTGTGAAATTTTCTGAAATTTGTTGATTGCTAAAATTTGTGTCTTTTGATAATTGGTTTGTTGAAATTTGTTTGTTTTGGTAATTCTAGTGCCCAACACGTCAATGTGAAGTTGCCAAAAAATTCAACTGCACAGCCAGTTTTAAGGTACAATGGTTCGGTCGTGGGTGGCAAAGACCCTGACTTGGCAATGGTGGTTCTGTTAGAAAAAACTCTCAAACCCACCGAATTAATCTATGCACAGCCTTACAATTTTTTATTTACTTTATTTACTTTCAAAATTTTTAAATTTTTTTCTGATCATCAAAAAGAAAAGATTTTATTGATGATAAAATGATGACAAATTATATATATATACATCAATAAAAATAAAGGGCGAGATTGGATCATAGTTGAAAAAGAACAAATAAAGCTTGTACACAACAAACAATTGACTTATACCAACAAACCAAATAAAGCTTGTACACAACAAAACGGAGTGAAAAACTACTCCAAAAAGAGATAAGCACGTTGCATCAACAAACAATTTCTTTGACTTTCAATTCCTCACCTCCTGTATGTGAAGCAGAAAGTCATCAATAGAGAACCCAATAAAGCTCGAATTTGACTTATACCAATGGGCCGTCTGCACTTTAATTTCTTCAACCGTTTGTGTCCAGCAAACTTGATGTTGATTGAAAATTGCATCGTTCCTTGTATGCCATAGATTCCAGCACACACTAGCAAACATGCCTTTCCAAACCACTTTTTTGAAACCCATGAATTAGTTTAACCACCTGCAGGAGAGATGAAATCAAAACAGGGCAGCAAACACATTGAACACTCACCAAAGGATGGCTGACCAGAGAAGTCGAGATCTATAGCAGAGGAGAAGAATGTGATTAGTGATAAATGGAGAAGAATTACTTGATGTCATGTGGTCAAGTGTCACAGTCACAATAATTTCGGATCTTCAAATTATAGTGACAAATCACATGAAATCACACTAATAAGATGTGATTGGAATTCATTAATTATGAGTACGATTAGATACATCTAATCTCACTTGGGTATTTTAAAACCCCTTTAGGTTAGATTTTTTGGGGAACGATATACATGTTGGTTCCTTGTTTTAAATGCAAGTGGGTTGTAGTAGTTATTTGTGTCTCGTGGTATGAATTCTGTCTTTAAATTCTTTCATGATTCTATCTTAATATATGTTTAATTATTTATATCATGTCTTGAGAATTACACGTGATAATTCAATTTTTGAAAGTATATTGGAACATGGAGACAGATTTGATGATGGAGAATCGTTGGCAATGTCTAATAAATAAAAAAAAGTGAATCATTTTAGCTTAGTGATTATGGGATCCCTGGATGAACTGTAACCATACTAGAGACGAAACCGAACTTAAAATATACACAATTTGTTTAGTGATTTACAGATGAGAATAGCTAAATATCGAAAAATATAATGTAAAAAAAATCTCTTAAAAATTAAACATAAAAAAAGCATGGGATCATAATGAAGAATGAGTGTGTGATGGGTCATGGTAATGATAGGTCAATGGACTGTGAACACAGGTTGCAAAATGTTGAAAAAGAAAAAGGAAGAGGAAAAAGAAGCAGCTAGAATCTAAAAATAATCTTTTAAACATTTCTATTGATTGTTTTTAACATATTTCAATGCACATTTACAATGGACTAGGATTTACAATATCAAGATTATTGACAATTGTTTAAACGGTAAAAGAGGTAATGAATGTGCATATATACATGTTTTTAAATTGTTATTTTTCTTCACTTTGAGATTGGTTAGTATTCAGTCTAAGGTTGCATCTGTGAGCAGGTTCAAAATCAACGAGAGCAAAGCCACTGCACTGGACGTCATGCTTGAAAATTGCAGAGGACGTAGCACAAGGTCTCTCCTACATCCACCAAGCATGGCGCCTTGTCCACGGCAATCTCAAGTCCTCCAACGTCCTCCTTGGCTCTGACTTCGAGGCTTGCCTAGCCGACTACTGCCTCGCTGCCCTTGCTAGTTCCTTTCCCTCTGATGGCGACGATGACATCAATATAGGCTGTTACAGAGCTCCAGAGTCCCGAAAGTCAAATCACCAAGCCACAGTCAAGTCAGACATCTACTCATTTGGAGTTCTTTTACTTGAGCTTCTAACTGGCAAGCCTCCATCACAACATCCGTATCTAACGCCTAGTGACTTGATCAATTGGGTCAGGTCCAGCAGGGAAGACGATGGAGGGGAAGACAGCCAGTTGGGAATGCTTCTTGAGGTGTCTATAGCTTGTAGTGCAATGTCACCAGAGCAAAGACCCACAATGTGGCAGGTATTGAAGATGATACAAGAGATTAAAGATGCTGTTATAATGGAGGATTGCAATTCTGATCCACTTACAGGGATGGCTTAGTGTAGGAAAACAGTATTTCAAACAACCCGACTTTTTTAGATGTTGCTACCATTGATTAAAAAAAAAAAAAAAAGAGGGGCTAAGGTTGCTATTGTTGCTGTTCTACATTTCATATTAATTGCCACCTTTTATACTAGTAATTAGCTAGCTTCAAAATTGCACATGTTTTATGTTATTTGAGAATTGGTATCTACATTATGGTGAGTAGTTGTAGGAGGAGAAAATTCACAAGGAGATCATGATGGTGGTAGTTGCACTCATCCTCAATTGTTTCCCAGTTTAATTAAATGATGGTGACCCAATTTCTTCCATGACATATGATAGGAAGACAAATTAAGTTGGACATGAATGCTTGTCACCGTAATGTTGTGTTTAGTTAGAGAATTTAAGAAAAGATTTAGAAAGAGAAAGGAAAAAGATGTATAGAATTAAATGAAATGTAAATATATTTTATTCACGTTTCATATATTTTTTCATTTTCTCTTTCCAAATTTCTTTTCAAATCTCCTAACTAAATACAATGTAAATGAAAGTTCTTGACTGTTTTCTCACCAGGATTCGACCATTTTATTATTATTTTTTTTTTGTGTGACCAAAATGTCACCTAGAAATAATACATTAAAAATGTCACACCCCACTTTTTAATTATTCGGATAACATTACCAAATCATTATTATAAACAATCTTAGAGATAACAGACAGAAGTCCAATATCTTAGTAAATATAAGCAAATGAAGACTCTCTCAATCATATACTGAATAATGCAACATGTGACATAATTACAGTAAATTGCCTGCAGGCTTATATCATTACATAAAAGAGAAAGGGTTAAACCCTTTTTACAACAACGACATTCAACCAGCAATTAAAAGGCCCCGTGGCCAACAAAAATTAAGATCCTTGATCTTGAACCACCTCTCGATATTTACCTGAAAAAGGATTAACAATGTTTTAAGTCATACCATATACATAAGTGCTGGTTTATACATAAAGATATACTTACATAGGTACATTTTTCAAAATCATTCAATTTATCCAACAATCACAAAACCGTTCGCTTTTCTTTCTTCTTATTACCTCTTTATTTTACATTTTCTAGGCGATAATAGGTATTTGAAAACAAACCCACGAAATCCAATTACTTGTCCTAATTACTAAACTCACAACCAATTCCAAATTATAATTTCTGAATAGAAGTATCCCAAATGAACATGAAAATGATACATATAAAATATTCCTCACAAAACCATATAAGACAAGTGACATCCTTCACAAAATAATCATCACTATGCATGAAACACATAAAGAGAACTGAGATAATAATGAAAAACCCAACAACACTCTACCTGCCTCAAGCACGGTAAGCCAATGATACACCTTTCTAATACTCACGCCAATTTACCAGTCACCAGCTGGAAGGTAATGTTACCTCTGCCAAGTTCTCAAGGCGCTAGCTGGAAGGCTCTAGCACCCCACATTCTCAGCACAGCCAATTCTCCAAGCGCTAGCTGGAAGGTAATGGTATCCCTTATTCTCAGCACATGCACATTTCCAACCACCACGTAACTCACAAATATAAATAACCTGAGTGTAATAACCCGACCCTCGTACATGTTCTCTGATATATTTTCAGTCCTTTATTCTGCACTTAAATGCTTATTGTGAAATTCCATGTGGAATTAAGTGTAATTACGTGAACCTTATGATTATAGATTCATATCTGTTTAATAAGAAAACATATCTGTCACACTTAAAATGTTTGGATAAGGAATTGAAAGCCTTAGGAGTTTAATAATCTGAAATTGACCTTATATTTGGAATCAGCATAATTTTTATGTAATAATAAGCATTTTTGCAGAAATTTGGTTTGGAATGATTAAATTGATTAATTTTTGTCCTATTCAACTTTTTCTTTTATATTATATATATGTGCCTCTTTGAATAAGGAACTTAGAACCTTACAAAATATCTCCTTGGAGGAAAATTAGAGAGGAAAAGGGTTTGAAGAAAAGAGGTGAAAGTCCTCAAGATCTAAGAGTGGGAAATTAAGAGGAATTCAAGAGTATTAAGCTTAAGGTAAGTCTAACCCATCTAATTCCACTTTCTTTCCTTGCTTTAAAGTAAGAATTTCTTGATGTGGTGTGGGTTGGAGTTGTGGTGGAATTCTTATATTTGAACAAATGGTTGCATGTGTGTGAGTGTGTGTGTGAGGAAGTTGGGAATATTATGTAATTGAATTTTGTTATAAGTTAAGAATTAAAGAGTTGAATCATAGTTAGATTATTGTGTGTTTGTGAATCTTGTACATGATTTTTGACCCATATTCTACCAATTAAAGAACCTATTTTGAGCCTTGAAAAAGTGTATCAAAAATTGGGTTTTGCTGGATTTTCGAATTGCAATTTGCCCAGAATCGCCGCACGTGCGGGGGTCACTGCCGCACGTGCGGGAAGCCTTGCCGCATGTGCGGGGCTCACAGCCGCACGTGCAGCCCAAGTTGCAAAATTTTGTTAGCTCCGTTTTGCGTGCTTAACCCTCTGATATTTTTGAAATATGCGTTTGATGTCCCTAAGATGCCTGTAAATTCGTTCGAAGTAAAATGAAGCAGGAAATGAATGAAGAAAGAAAAAAAGAACTAATGAATAAGTTGTGCATGTGTATAGGTCATAATCCGGGAGGGGCAAGCACTGCGCTAAAGCACTGTGAGTAATAGTACTGTAGTCGCACATTTGATTACCGTTAATGATTCTTTTTATTAACGCTCTACTCTTCACAAGTAGTTATGTTACCCTGATGTTGATTGGGAATCGGTGTGAACATTGAAAGATTTTGGCGTACATCAGTACGACTCTGAACCTACTCTGTATGCCGGTTAAGGTTAATGATTATCGTTAATGTACCAACTTGTAAATTACCTATGATTCCGTATAAGAATTGCATACAAACCATTAACACTGTGAGGTTGTTAATAGAAAAAAAGTATCAATGACATTGTTACGTGACTCATGTTATGGTGCGAATTGTTCTGACTTATTAATGTAATGGTACCTTTACCTTCAGATTATCGTTAATATTAACGTTCTGCTAATTGCAAGACAAGTATGTCGATTGACAATGAACCATGAGGAAATCTAAACGCATCATTGAGTCATATGTTGTTTACTGTTGATAGTTAATGTTAACATTCTGTTATCTGCGAGTTAGCAGTATTGATTCGTGACAAGCAAATGGAATGTATGTGCGTTATGGAATTATGGTATTTATGTATCTCTGAAGTTGTTCCATTTGTTAATAATTATCATTAACACTTTGTTAAACGCAAACTAGCTATGTTAACTCATGTGAATGATTGGAAGAATCTATGTGCCTTTGTATAACTCTGAGACTAATAATATATGTGTCTTATGTCAATGAATATTGTTAATGTTCTGATATACGTAAGATGATTATGTTAACTTGCAATAAACCATGAGGTTATTCCGTTCTGTTTATTCGTTCCATTCATACTATGACATGATATGAATTGTTCGGTCTTAAAGACCTAATATTTTCTGGTATGGAACAAAGTGATGTACGGAACTAAGTGCTGCAATGCGAGTCACCCCTAGAATTCGTGTGAGCCACCTCTTGAGTCCATACATACATGAACTGGGCTTAAAGCCAATCTGGGCCTATGGCCATTCTGCATGATCTGTTAGGCCAAAGGCTAATCTGTATTTTCGGTATGGAACAAAGTGCTGTACGGAACTAAGTGCTACAGTGCGAGCCACCTCTAGAATCCATGCGAGCCACCTCTTGAGTCCACACATACATGAAAAGGGCTTTATGCCATTCAGTTTAAGGGCTTTATGCCATTCTGTTTAAGGGCTTAAGGCCACTCTGTCCAAAGGCCTGAAGCCATTCTGTTTAAAGTTTAGGCCTAAGGCCATTCTGGAAATAATTACAAGATAAAGTTAACTATATGTTCTCTGCACTTATATATGTACATTGTAATTCAAGTTAATCATTAAATTGTTTACGTACTACTGTTCACTAAGCTTGACTCACTTTTTGTTATGTCTGTTTCTGTAGGCACTCCACCCGGAGGTCAGTTTTAACCCATGGCATCCGTTCCTCTTTTGTCAACCTCAGAGTGTCCAAGCACTTAAATGAAGGCAGATCATTTTAGGGGGTTTTGCTAAGCTTTTGGTTTTGCACCCTGATTGTCTGTCTAAGGTTGAAGAGTATATAATCCCTTTACCTTTCCATATTTTGTTACGCCCAATCTTGAGGGCTGGGTCTGTATCTATATATATATATATGTACATAGCTAAATTCTCTGATGCACGTCACTGTGTGTTTATCTGCCTTATGTTCTGTTTGTGATCTTGGCATGATAGTGGTCACTCAATGGATGTAGTTCTTTTATTTATGTTAATTTATATTGTTAAATGCTTCCGTTCAAACCCCATATATTTTGTATATCAGGTTAAGCGTTCGGTTCTGAATAGGTCATGCCCAAACTTTTAGGGGCGAGTTTGGGGCATGACACCGAGTGTACTACATACACAAAATCTATTTAACATCACAATGTCATCCTCCACCGATGACGAAGGACAAAACCTCTAAGAAAAATATATAAACACACGTAATACAATAATCCGATACTTACTTGACCTTAAGTCCAACAACAATGATAATAATAACAATATTCAACGATTTCAAGACCTAACCTCAAGTTCATGTCTGAATTTACAATACATCATAGTTTCTTTCTTTTTTTCCTTCTTTTTTTTTTTCCCCCTTCAAAACCAACTCTTTTATTTTCCAAATTCACATGCCCAAATCCTTTTCTTTCCAAAAACCAATTTCAACATTTCAATAAAACCTCATTCAAGAATTCCAAGCCATAACCCAACTTAGCTTAATATGATTATTCGAATAAGTTCCAATACTAAAATTAATTCTTCCTTTATGTTTACAACACAATAACACAACTCAAATTATCAAAACACAAACATTAGTCAATTTTATCCCTTTTTAATTCATTAGGT